TTGGACTAACTTTTGTTGGAGGAGCAAAGCTTTCACATTTATATAGAGTTCTTCTTCATTTCTTCAGCTCTGCCCATGCCTGAAAACTTGTCTCTCTCACCAACAGAAGTTGGTCCAATAATAGATTTTCCCTCACCCGCCTTATATCTGATATCCTTACACCAAGACAGCTACAAAAACACTGCAAACAACAATGGTTTCATTCATGTCAGTGGCACGTAGCACAAAATCTCAGTACTGTTGGGAAGAGTCGCAGCTTCCAGGTAGGCCGCATTTGGAATACTGAGTTCAGTTCTGAACCCCACTACACCAAAGAAGGAGTCCTCCTTTCCAAGCAGCAGCTTCTGGAAAGAAAAGAGTGAGGCTACTGGACTTTTCCTTTTGTTCTGTTGATGCAAATGGCCAGTTGGCTGACCTGCTGGGAAAGTCTTCAGCAAATCTGCAGATTGGAAGTCCCACTATCACTTAATGCTGCTGAGGAGCAGGAGGAGGTCATCTCTGGTGAAAGAAAGTTGGGGAGGGAAATTGGAAAGAATGAGGGGTGGGAATTGAGGCTTGTTCTTCAACATTATTTTATGGCTTTTGTGCGCCTGGACTGATTTGTTGTGGGAGAGTTGCTGGAGACAGTAGATTTGGCACTGACAATGGCAGCTGAGAGCCAAGAGAGAAGTTCTATGCCAGCTTAAACTCTTGCTTCATTCTTTCTCCTCCACCCCAAATTCCACCCCTCCCCCTGCTTTGAAGGACAGAAGACAAGGGATGGGGAGAGAGACACTTGCAATGAAAACCAGAGCACTAGGTTAATGAAGGCTATGTGGGCTGCAATAGACTAGAAAGACACACAAGGCACTTCCTCTACCATGTGGCATGCAGTTCTGCTGCTGCCCGTCCTACACAGCTTAAAAGAAATAAGCAACCAAGTAAAACTTTTAAAGAGATACCATTTGTGAACTCCAAGCCATGAGTCTGCCAGCTTATTCCTGTCTCTTTTCTCCCACCCCGCTCTTCTTTTGCTCAAGACTTTTTCAATTCTCATACTTGTCTGTGAAAATAAACACTGCCTTGTCAGGTTTTCAGAACTGACTCATTTCACCTATCCGCTGGCATTGCTGCTTAGGAGGAGTTGGAGCCAAAGCTATTACATTTATATTTATGTTATAATTGCCATCTTTTACTCAGAACCATAAAGCAGCACATTAAGTAGCAACAGCAAATGGCCCATCTTTATTTCGTTGTTTGTTTAAAATCTGGCCCATAGTTCTATAGAAACAGGAAAATTGTTTAGGTGAGCTGAATGTCTTCAGTGATTTTTTTAAAAAATGTCAGTAACAAATTATTGGGCACATTTTGCTGTGTGTTTTGTCCATCTATGATGCTCATTTTTCCTAAGTAGGGTGAAAAATGTGTCTTGGGATCAGCCCCATACCCCAACTTGTGAAACTCATCCTATCTCAATTGAAATCAATAGACCTACGACAATTGACACCAGCTCAGAATGTGACCGATCGATATAAGGCCTCTGAAGCTACTGCTGAAGGAGATTCTTTTTGTTGGTTCATGGATTTGGAGGAACATTAACTCATTATAAACATTCCTCTTCAGTGTCTCTGATCAAGCTAGTCTCTTTCTTATGATGAAGAAGCCAAAAGAATCAACAGTCACACACAACTAAAAACTTTTGTCAAGAAGAATGAATACATTCTGAATTCCAGTTTGTTTTGAGGAAAGTGTTCAGTGAAAACCTACACCTTTAATCCTGTATAATGTATATTCTTAAGATGGTGTTTGCAAACTTTTGCATCAAACCCACATGGGTTCCAGGACTGTGTCCCTGTTTCAGTCTTTTATGTTAATATCCACTGGCAGACTAAAGTTGAGTATTTTTTGGTCAAACTGAAAACAAAAGGTTTCAAAATTGCCAGCAAAATCAGGTCAGGCAAAACATTTTGTTTCAATTTGGGGCATTTGTAAACATTTATTAAAAATAACGCTGAAGGAAATTTCAGAATTAAAAAAGTCATTTCAATGTTCCATTTCCTTTCAAAACTGACAAAATGAAGTATTTTTAAAAATTACCATTTTTTTTCAACCAAAACAAATCAGCACAATTAAAAGAAATTCACAAAGTGTTTCAGCATCACCGAACCTGCATTTTTTGCCAAAAAGAGTCTTGGTAAAAAAAATGTACCAGCTATAATCAGGACGATTAGAGTTACAGCTTGTCCAAAAGCTTTGTCAATGCTAGCTATTGAATCACTGATTTTGGCAGGTATTTTCCCTGTAAGTTACCTGGTCATACAGAAAGATATCAGGCCTTCCCTGGCCTGGCCCGGCCCCACCTGAGCGGCCTCAGCTGCAGAGAAATACCTCTCATCTGGCCCCAAGTTGCTGTGGCAAGAGAGGGCTGGGGGGAGACCTCTCGCCCCACTGCAATCCCAGGGCAGCCTAAACTCCAAATCCCTCAGCCTTGGCCTCACACCAGAGCCCCCAGCTTAAGCCCTCACCCCAAATGCCTGCCCCAGCCCTAAGCCTAACCTTTGCCCCCACCCCACCCCACCCCATCCCATCTATGCATAGAATTAATTTTGTTAAGTGCAGGTAAAAAGTTAATTTTGTACTTGAACATAAAAATTAGAAGGAGCATTGCCGACCTGCTAGTATTACTTCTCAGTTATCTTCATTCAGGTAAAGCAAAGACCTTTGGTTTCAAATAGTGACCCCCAAACTAACCCCTGGCACAGAAAGAATTACATTCTGTCAAGAGCAGCAGGTTTTGCATGCTCCTAGTTTCCCTAGGAGAAATAAGTCTTGTGTGTGTTAGAATTATGATGTATATACTTTTACAATAAGGTAGTTGTCATGACAACAGGTTAGCTTTTCAATCGGTTTTTCTCTAGGCTTACCTTCCCCCTTCCACTCCCCCACCCCCGATCTGAAAAATTGCAGGTGCAAATAACTACAAGTATAGTGAAGGCCATTTGAATTATATCTACTTGATTCCATTTACAAATTATATATACAGCTGCCCAAATTACCTACCTGTGGGCACAATATTGTAATCCCAATTTTGAGGATGCAAAAAGTAAGACCACTTTTTGAAACACTACAAGAGGATATTAGTAAAGAAATGATAGTGGTAGTCAGTCCTCAGAAAGTTTGGTGGCTCAGTTTGGATGTGCAGTTTGGTTAAGCATCTAAGGCTACGTCTAGATTGGCAAGATTTAGTGCAAATACTCTAAATGCAAGAGTTTTTGCATTAGAGTATTTGAGTAAGAGAGCGTCTATACTGGCATGTGCCTTTGCGCAAAAGATTTGCTTTTGTGCAAAAGCATCCATGCCAGTGTAGATGCTCTCTTGCGCAAGAAAGCTCCGATGGCCATTTTAGCCATCGGGTTTTCTTGCACAAGAAAATTGATGTTACCTGTCTATGCTGGCCTCTTGCACAAGAACAGTTGTGCAAGAGGACTTATCCCTGAGCGGGAGTGTCAGAGTATTTGCACAAGAAGCACTGATTTCATACAGTAGAACGTCAGTGTTCTTGCGCAAATACTCGCGGCCAGTGTAGACAGGCAGCAAGATTTTGCGCAAAAGCAGCTGCTTTTGTGCTAAATCTTGCCAATGTAGATGTAGCCTGAATGTTTAGATGATTATCTAAAGCTATCCAGACTTCTTTGGACTCTGCAGATATTGGGCTGGACATCTAAGAATGAGCTTTCTTGGGAGATTTCTGGTACTTTTTGTTTCTCACCAAGCTGGAAATTCCAAATGGAAAGCCTCTTTCACAGTATTTTGGCACTTCTGCTTCTTGTCCCCCTGGGAGTAGGAAGTGCAGAGGTGAACAAAATCCCAGTATAATAATTGGGGGAGAGAGTTAACATTTTTGTGTCTCAATTTAAAAAAAATCAGCCTGGGTTTAATTTGCACATCAGGCAAAGGTCTGGGTCATTTCTTTCTTTGAACCAGTTCACTCCTCAACAGAAACATTGTTCCTTTAAGGAGGCTCAATTGCATGACTTGCTCCAATAATAGGAAAACAACAACATGAAACAATCAAAATAAAGCTATTGAAATTATACCAACGTGGGATAAAACAATAACACTCATCTTTGTCATGGAAGTGCAGCATTGCGTTGTATGAATGTGTCAGTGTTTCTGGTGTATTATTACTTTATATCATTTATTTGTTTTCTTTGTTCTTAACCCCTTTGTTCCAAGGGTCAGGATATCCTGATGGTAAGTGCTCCTGCAAAATAACATTACAACAACAATGGTATAACACTTAGGGAGCATGTCACTCTTTTCAAACCAGGGCCACCTGAAAGCATGGACTAATTAGATCATATTCAACAAGTATGCTAATAATATAGCACCAGCGCCTACATTAAAAATAACCATATTTTTGAAGATCATTGTTATGTCCAGTCTGAAGTAGAAACAAAGTAAGGTAAACATGGCAAAAGATGCTAGAACAGTGGAAATATCATGCTGCTCCTGCTGTTGTTGGCATAACAAGGAAAACCCCTTGTCCTTGTTGTTCTATTTTTTATATTTAAGGATGTTAACTTTTAATCCATTCACTTGGATCTTCTTCCCCCCATGAAGGAAGATCCTGTTTGTTTGCCTGTTTATTTTTCCATCTGTAAAAGAAATGACATGGAATTTAACCAAAGTAAGTTTGTTATTTATAGATACTAGGAAAAATTAAAATGCATGTTAAATTCCTAACTAGCGATTTTTTGTTTTGTTTTGAATAAAGTAGATGATACAGTAAGTTGCCTCCATTCCATTAGTTCCTTCCTGCACCCTACATAAACACTAAGGCTGAATGACAACCCAGGACGAAAAGGGATATAGATTAAGAGTGCAGACTATATAAAATCAGTGAAAATGCCAGAAAAATAAAAGGGTCCTGCTACTGAAGGAGGTGAAGCGAAAGAGAGGGAAAGGAATTGCTGTAACATCTGTCTAACAAATTATGTTCATGCATGTTTTAAAATGTCCCAGTAACCTCATTTGTTAGTGAAAGTGTTACGGATACACAGAGTCGTTCCACATAGCTCTCAGGTATCTTTTGTCTTGTCTTTAAAGGCTGGTGATAATCATCTTCTGTTTACGAGTGAATAATCACTAGTCACTACTTAATGTCCTCACATGAACTTATTCCTTCACTTAGGTGGAGCTTTACACCTAGCAGCCAAAATAATAAGTCCACCCTGGGACCTCCCGTGAAAAAGTGGAATTCCAACAACTTAATTTCCCTGGCCAGTCAAGCCTTAGCAGTTCCTTCTTTCCTTCTGGTTTTATGATTATTTGTCTTCAAAAATGGAATTGAAAACCAGAGCTGTTTGTTAGGATTACACAACAGCGCCCGACTTGTGAATGCAGATCTTCCTGCTTTCCCGATTCGCTTCTTTCCCAGTTAGCTTTGGAATGTGAATCAGTGTTATTTCCCTTGCAGCTGAAGGGCAGCTAAGGTTACAAAGGGATTTGACTAATAGGCCAAAACTCCCTTTGGGTTTGCTGAGAACCAAACGAGAGAAAGGAGGAAGACGACAGAGGTGGGTGGGCAGGAAACCTTTTTGATTGCATTACCGTGTAGATAAATTCAAACAGCCCTCTTAATATATTCATCATTATGTGGCCATTAATTGAAAGGAGGGATGGCCTCCTGCCAGTGTAGCCCGCGAAAGGCAGCTGTGAACTGGTTCTGCTGGGCTGCTTTTCCTGACGACTGCTTTCGGCTTGCTCGGCATGATTTGGTGAAGCTAGTCTCTTTAATAAACCAGCAGCTGTTTACCTGATAGCCAAACCAGGAGCTGAAAATGTTCCTTCTCTGCAAATTCCAGGAGCTTGCAGTTGGGTGACAACTCCTGAAAGCAAGCAAGCAAGCAAACAAGCCAACAAACAAAAGACTAAGAAGAGATAGAGAGGAAGGAAAATAAAATACCTCGCTGGCTTCTCTTCCCCCCACACACTTTTTTTTTTTTTTTTTTGGCTGATGTTCCAGCTGTAGCCTGGGATTAATTAAGTGTTGTAACTTGCAGCCTGAGACCGAGGGAGAGTGAAAAATATGCATCTATCTCTGAGGAGGAAGAGGTCCAGCAACTGCTTCAGCTCACTCACTAGTGGGGAAACTTCGGAAAGTCAGTCTCTGTACAGCGTTTGTCAGGAAGCAGTAAGGCTGGAGAAGCCTCTTTCTCAGCTGTGAGAACCCATTTTTGTTGTTTTTATGTGTGTCTAGCCGTGAAGTGTGTCCCTAGTCCAGTAGCGGGAGCAGCCCTTTCTGGAGAGCACAGAACAGGATGCCTGTGTTAGATCGGTTTTTTAATTCAACAGAGCTGAGCAGGCAGTGGAGGACAGGGGGAGAGCCGATGCCCTTTCCCATGGGCAGCCTGCCCAGCTATCAGGCGGGCACCTTAGCCTGCGAGTTGCCTGAGATGATCAGGATGGTAAAGCTCATTCGGATGTCCAGTAGTGAGCTGCGAGGGACAAAGCACAGAGGGATTTTGGAAAGTGAAGACACTCTGGACGGTTTATCAGGTACATTTTAATGTGTTCTGTAAAAGGTGCAGTCTCATCGAATTGTGCAAGTTGCTGCTTGCATAAAGTGGCTCTGTGTGTGTGTGTGAGAGAGAGAGAGAGAGGTGTGGAACGCTGGGACTGTGTGTGACTGACAGACTCATGTATCAAAATCGTTCTCAGCACTCTGGCCAAAGTCAGCCTGCCCACTCACTTGGGGGAGTACCTGTTTCGTGATAGGCAAGTGCAATCCCAGGATTATTTTCATCCTGATGCCAAACAGCAGGCAAAGAGGTTTTCTGCCCGGCTGATCAAACTACAGAACAGCTTTGCAAAAGGCTGCTCTAATATATAAAATGTTTAACGCAGTTCTTGAGCACAGCAGCATTACTGAACAAAGTAACTCTGCCAGCAATAATCCTAAATCCCCAGTTTATTCATGTGTTTGTGCTAGTTCTAGGAGCAAAGTCGGTTCTCTGTATGGTCACAAAAATTAAAATCCAGAAAAGAAGAATGGCCTGTGATGGCTTTGACCTGTGCCCGAGGAGAGCTGGGTCCCATGGCCAGCTCTGCCACAGGCTGCCTGGATGATCTTGGGGATGTCAGTTGGGGCTAGATTTTGTAAAAATTATTTAGGCACCTGTAGATTATGGTAGGTGCCTAATGGAATTTTCTAAAGCACGAACCTGCATTGAAATCAGTTCAACAAGATCTTAAGCAGGTGCATAACTAGGGCCTTAATAAATTCACAGTCCATTTAGTCAATTTTTATAGTGGTCAGATTTTAAAAATCATAAACATTTCATGATTTCAGCTAATTAAATGTAGAATCTCGTGGTGTTGTAATTGTAGGGGTTCTGACCCAAAAAAAGGAGTTCTGAGTGGGCGGGGGGGTCACAAGGTTATTTTAGGATAGGGGGCAGTGTACTGCCATCCTTCCTTCCTTCCACACTGCTGCTGGCAAGTGTTGCCCTCAGAGCTGGGCAACTGGAGAGCAGTGGCTGCTGACCAGGGCCCCAGATGTGAAGGTAAAGCTACTGCCAGCAGCAGCACAGAAGTAAGGATGGTGTGGTAGGGTATTGCCACTTGTATTTCTGTGCTGCTGCCTGCTACAGGTGTCAGTGGTTAATCAGTAAGCATCACACTTACTGGTGCACTGCTGCTGGTGGGGTGCTGCCGTCAGAGCTGGGTACCTGGCCAACAGTTGCCACTCTAGAGCCACGGCCACCCAAGGTATGAAAGCACAGAAGCGAGGGTGGCAATAGCCCCCTAAAATAACCTTGTGACCCCCTTGCAATGTCCTTTTGGGTCAGGGGACCTATTTGTGAAACATTCGTTTCCTGCATGAAATCTGTATAATGTGAGGTAAAAGTGCAAAAAAGACCAAATTTTGGAGAGGCAGGGTGGGCGACAACAGATTTCATGGTCCCTGGTACATTTTTCACAGCCATGAATTTAGTAGAAGCAAAATGCAGGACAATGTAGCACTTTAAAGACTAACAAGATGGTTTATTAGATGATGAGCTTTCGTGGGCCAGACCCACTTCCTCAGATCAAATAGTGGAAGAAAGTAGTCACAACCATATATACCAAAGGATACAATTAAAAAAAATGAACAAATATGAAAAGGACAAATTAGCAGAAATCTTTCTACAGAGATGGTTCTGTGCAAAGGAAGGGGATCGGCCACTTTATAAAGTGTGTAATAAATGAGATGGGGAAGCAGTGGAACAAACTGATGAGATTGTGGGGTTTGTGTGGACAGAGAGAACTGAATGCTCAGAGGGATGAATTGTAGTCACAGAGAAATGAACTGATGATTCATCCACTACATTTTGCATGCAGGTGGTACTGGAAATATTCAAAAAAGCCACCTAGGCAAAAAGTATAATCACAGCACGTTCAATGGAGCTACCATTTGTTTAATGACTGAAGTTCAACCTTCAGATTTCTGAAGGCACCTGTGGGTGTTTGAGAGAATGTCAGAGGTAGTGGAAAATAGAGGGGAGGATAGTGAGAAATGTAACAAATTAAAAATATAAAAAACAGAATATCATCCTCATAAACTCTGATTCTTCCACCAGCAGGATGTGAGTAATTCCCTTTAACTCAAATAGGTATTTACTAATATCCTGTGAAAGGCAAATCTGGACTTATGGTACCAATTCTACAGTGTGACACCAGTTTAAATTCAGACTAATTCCCAAGCTCAATTGATGTATACCACTAAGAGAACAATGATTCCATATTGCTTTTACCTCCTCTTCCTCCCCAGCAGTTGTCATGGAGATCTCCCATTTTGTTCAGCAGTGGGTTCCTCCACTGGGGACTGTGTATGGTGAAGCCCTTAAGTCTTTCAACTCGGGGGGGATCTAAACACTAACTCAAAAAGCATCTGCCTCTCTTGGGCACCATAATGCTTGCTTGCTTTTTTGCTTCACATAGAGGGCCATGATAGATATTTTTTTATTTTTTTGTGTGTGTGGGTCAACAACTTGTTAGACACAGCAAAATGTGTCAGCTGTTGGATACTCAGCTTCATAGCACTTGCCAAATGAAGTGTGTTTTCATATAAATTCTGGTGTGTTCTCATGGCAACTTATCCAACATCGTATCTTGACTTCTGAGGTTATATTTTTTCTTACCACAGCTTATGAGGTGATCCAAGGTTGGGTTGTTTTGGAGGAAAAGGAAAGATCTCAAGATTTCTATTGCATTTTAGAAATCGTATAGAGGTTCTTCACTTAACGGGAGATGAATACAATCTCCCACGCTAAGCCTGAGTGATCAGACTAGACTCCTAGACCTTAAATCCTGGACCCCCAATAAGAGATCCTCCTCTGAGTCTTGCAGCTCTTGAGGGCCCTCCATAGCAATCAAGGAATATGCAGGATCTGGATCCCCTTCCTCCCATTACAGTGGTTGCTACACATTACATAATTGTATGAGATTGAAGGAAAATCTCATTAGAGATTAAATAAATTGAAAATCAGATCATTAGCCTCCTTTTGCCAGCTTTGAGTCATTGCAATGATATCTGCTGTGTCTGAAGACCTAGCTTTCCTTCTTTGCCCCCTTCCAGTTGTTGCTTTGTAATTTTTTTCATCCAAATCCCTGTCCACATTAGCACAAACCTAAATCACCATGTGATCTTTGGGATGAGTGTCTCCCTGCAGCCAAAGCAAGTTAGCACCGTGACATTACCTCTCTACCAATATGCTAAATGCAGTTAAGTACTAGAGATGACGGTATAATGAAATGCAATTAATTTGGGGATGGGAGGAATGGTACAAATAATCATTATTCAAAATGTTTGCAGCTGATTAAATAATAATATTTATTTGGAAATAATTTATTGGCAGAAAAGTGCCAGAATACGATGGATTCATTATTTGAGTAACTCAACCAGCTCTAACTGGCACTGTGATTGAAACAGACTCTTCCCTACCTAGTACAGTCTGAACACCGTTTAAGAATTTTGGTTGATAGAAAGAAGCTACATTGCCCAGTTTTGAACTGTTCTAATTTTCTGTCACTGTCACTAATGTTTTGCGTCACTGTTGTTTCTTCCCTTGGGTGTCTCTCTCTGGACTTATATATATGGTTGAGTAATGAGCACTTTGGGGATTTGGTTTCAAAAGTGCGCTAATGTGCTGCACATTAATTGGACTATGTAGATCCAGTTTGTGTGCACTAAATGTTCCCTAGTGCACTTTCACACAGTTTCAAACAGCACTGTGTTAAAGCATATTAGGAAATAATCAGAGACACCAGCTTGTCTACACAAACTTTATTCACATGAAGTACACTAAGGATATGTCCACAGTATACTTTTTTTTTAAAAAAAAAAAACCTGCCCTTTTTTCAAAAAAACTTCACCTGTGTCCACACTACAATTGCGTTCTTTCTAAATTAAATCGAAATAGCGCAGGGTTTTTTGAGGTAAACCTCAAATTATGAGAGAACACCTTTTCGAAAGGGCTCTTTCGAAAAAAGGCACGTATGGACACAGAACAGGGACTTTTTCTTTTGAAAGAAGAGTCAATCGAAAAAAAACACAGGTTCCCTGGTGGCCATTTTGTCAATAACAATCAGGGCTTTCTTTTGAGAGAGCATCCATGCAGTCTGGATCGCTTTTTTGATCCGGTTTTGAGGTGTGGATGCTCTCTTTTGAAAGAAGTCTGCAGTCTATATGTACCCAAAGGGTGTGTCTACACAGCATCCTTTCCTCAAAATAGCTTATTTTGAAATTTGGTGCTGTGTAGACGGTGTCAAATTTCAAAAGAAAGTGCTATTCCCACAAGTCCCTTAACCCTCGTGGAACGAGAGTCACAGAGATGCCAGAATAGCATGCGCCTGTTGTTTTGAAATAATGGGCCAGTTTAAAGACACAAAATTGCTATTTTGGGATACTTTGAGTATCCCAAAGTAGCCCTGCTGTCTAGACATAGCCTTATTTATAAATTACACCCCTGAAAAGCACTGTGTACACAAGCCTTATGTGTACACAAGCCCAGTCACTTACACAGATGCAGAATCTCCTGAAAGACGATTGTGCAATGACACTTAAGTCACACCTAGCCTTGCAGGAAGATGGACACTGCAGCAGTTGATATTCCAGCATTTAATTTAGTGGGTCTAGTAAAGACCCACTAAACTGAATGCTGAGGGCACCCCTATCAGCACTGGGAATCCTCGCTGTCGCAAGAAGTAAGTGAAGTCGATAGGAGCATTTCTCCTGGCAAACTGCCACTGTGGGAATGGTGCAAAGTTGAGCTTAAGGTATGTTCACTCCAGCTATGTTATTTACATAGCTGGAATTGCATGTCTTAAGCCAACCTTCCCCTGTAGCATAGACCTGGCCTTAGATTCTTTAGGGCATACCAGACACCAGTGTTTGTGTGTTTCTGAAATGACTTTAGAAAGCTTTCCCACCTCCCTTACTCTTTTTCCTTCTCACTGCAACTGTCCTCTGAGAAATATAGTCCATAATTCACACATTCATCATGCTCATCTTTAAC